GGCCATTTGCAAAGATATTTAAGTAGGTGTCAACTTATTCAATTCAAGTCTACGATATAAAGAGAGAGGCATAACACTAACACCGGCTCCAAGATCACATAACGCAGTTTTAACATAGTTTCTTTTAATGGAGCATGGTATAGTTGGTACTCCTGGATCTCCAAGTTTCTTAGGTATTCCACCCTTAAAAGTATAATTAGCAAGCATGGTGGAAATTTCAGCTTCCGGTATCTTTCTTTTATTTGTAACAATGTATTTCATGTACTTATAAAGATTCATTTTAAGCATATCAGTCAAACACATACGCAAAAAGATAGGTCTAATCATTTCAGCAAAGCGCTCAAAATCCTCATCATCCTTTTTCTTGGATGGTTTAGGAGGAAAAGGCATGGGTTTATGAATGCATGGTTCTCTTTCTTTACCGTGCTTCCTAGCAACAAATTCTCTCTTTTCATAATGTTGATTCTTTGATTGTGGGTTATCAAGATCAACAACAGGTTCAATCTCTACATCATTATTATTGCCAGGTCGAGCATCAACATGAACATCATCATTAACATTATCACTAGGTTCATGTTCATCACCAGATTGTGTTTCAGCATCAGAAATAGAAATATCATTGGGATTCTCAGGTGTGTCTACAACAGGTTCACTAGAAGCATGCAAAGTCCTATCATTTTTCTTCTTCTTCTTAGAAGGACTAGGTGCATCAACATTATTTCTCTGAGAATATTGCTCAATTCTCTTAGGGTGGCTCTCAGGATATAATGGTTCCTGAGTCATTTTATCCCCTCTAGTCATAACTCTAACAACATTATCATTTTTCTTATCATTTAATTCATTGAGCTAATCATTTTGAGCTTTAAGCACTTGTTCTACTTGAGTGGTAACCATAGAAGCATGTTTACTAATGAGTTTAAGTTCATTCTTAACTCTAGACATATAATCACTCAAGTGTCCAATCATATAAGCATTACTTTTCAATTGTCTACCAACATAAGCATTGAAGTTTTCTTGTTTAGCCATAAAGTCATCAGACTCATCCAAGCATTGGCTAGAAAACTTAGTAGACGAGATTTCAACTTTATCATATCTATAGAGAGAATTTACCTTTACTACCTATGTCGGGTTATCAAGACCATGTATTTCTTCAATAGGTGTTATATTAAGGCCATGTATTTCTTCAACAGGAGGTAAATTCTTAACATCTTCAGCTTTAATACCTTTTTCTTTCATAGATTTCTTTGTCTCTTGCATATCTTCTGGACTGAGAAATAGAACACCTCTTTTCTTCGGCGTTGGCTTAGGAGTTGGTTCATGAAGTGTCCAATTATTTTCATTAGTCAACATATTATTCAATAGCAATTCAGCTTGATCGATAGTTCTTTCCCTGAAAACACAACCAACACAACTATCCAGGTGGTCTCTGGAAGCATCGGTTAGTCCATTATAAAAGATATCAAGTATTTCATTTTTCTTGAGAAGATGATCAGGCAAAGCATTAAGTAATTGGAGAAGCCTCCCCCAAGATTGTGGGAGACTCTCTTCTTCAATTTGCACAAAATTATATATTTCCCTTAAAGCAGCTTGTTTCTTATGGGCGGGGAAATATTTAGCAGAGAAGTAATAAATCATATCCTGGGGACTACGCACACAACCAGGATCAAGAGAGTTAAACCATGTTTTAGCATCACCCTTTAATGAGAACGGAAATATCTTAAGGATATAGTAGTAACGAATTTTCTCATCATTAGTGAATAGGGTGGCTATATCATTCAATTTAGTAAGATGTGCCACAACAGTTTCAGATTCAAAGCCATAAAAAGGATCAGATTCAACCAAAGTAATTATCTCAGGATCGACAGAGAAATCATAATCCTTATAAGTAACACAAATAGGTGAAGTAGCAAAAGCAGGGTCATATTTCATTCTAGCATTCAGAGACTTTTCTTTCAGCTTAGCTAATAACTTCTTAAGATCAGATCTATCATTGCAAGCAAGAAAATCTCTAGCAGTTTCTTCATCCATAACATAGCCCTTAGGCACAACAGGCAATTCATATTTAGGGGGAGAACCTTCATCATCACTTTCATCAATATTATCAGTTTCAATAATTTCAATCTCTCTAGCCCTAGCAAGTTGTTCATCGAGAAATTCACCTAATGGCACAGTAGTATCAAGCATAGAAGTAGTTTCATCATAAGCATCACGCATAGCAGAAGTGGCATCATCAATAACATGCGACATATCAGAATTAATAGCAGAAGCAGGTTTAGGTGTCGCAAGTTTACTCAAAATAGATGGTGAATCAAGTGCAGAGCTAGATGGCAGTTCCTTACCTCCCCTCGTAGTTGAGGGAAAACTCCTAGTTCTTTCATCTTTCAAGTTCCTCATAGTGATCAGCAGATATAAATCCCAAGTGACTCAAAGAATTGAGCTATGCTCCCCGGCAATGGTGCCATAAAATAGTCTTGATAACCCACAAGTATAGGGGATCGCAACAGTTTTGGAGGGTAGAGTATTCAACCCAAATTTATTGATTCGACACAAGGGGAGCCAAAGAATATTCTCAAGTATTAGCAGTTGAGTTGTCAATTCAATCACACCTGGATAACTTAATATCTGCAGCAAAGTATTTAGTAGCAAAGTAGTATGGAAGTAACAGTAACACTGGCAAAAGTAACAATAGCAGTTTTGTAGAAATTGTAACAGCGGCAATGGTAAAGTAACTAAGCAAAGATCAATATGTGAAGAGCTCATAGGCATTGGATTAGTGATGGATAATTATGTTGGATGAGATTCCTCATGCCATAGTTATAACATAGGGTGACACAGAATTAGCTCCAGTTCATCAACGTAATGTAGGCATGTATTCCGAATATAGTCATACGTGCTTATGGAAAAGAACTTGCATGACATCTTTTGTCCTACCCTCCCGTGGCAGCGGGGTCCTATTGGAAAATAAGGGATATTAAGGCCTTCTTTTAATAGAGTACCGGACCAAAGCATTAACACTTAGTGAATACATGAACTCCTCAAACTATGGTCATCACCGATAGTGGTCCCGATTATTGTCACTTCGGGGTTGTCGGATCATAACACATAATAGGTGACTATAGACTTGCAAGATAGGATCAAGAACTCACATATATTCATGAAAACATAATAGGTTCAAATCTGAAATCATGGCACTTGGGCCCTAGTGACAAGCATTAAGCATACAAAGTCATAGCAACATCAATCTCAGAACATAGTGGATACTAGGGATCAAACCTTAACAAAACTAACTAAATTACATGGTAAATCTCATCCAACCCATCACCGTCTAGCAAGCCTACGATGGAATTACTCATGCACTGCGGTGTGCATCATGAAATTGGTGATGGAGGATGGTTGATGATGACGACGGCGACGGATTCCCCTCTCCAGAGCCCCGAACGGACTCGAGATCAGCCCTCTTGAGAGAGTTTAGGGCTTGGCGGCGGCTTCGTATCGTAAAAGCGATGAATCCTTCTCTCTGAATTTTTATCCCCGAACGTGAATATATAGAGTTGGAGTTGAGGTCGGTGGAGCACCAGGGGGCCCACGAGGCAGGGGGCGCGCCCCCCACCCTTGTTGACAGGGTGTGGGCCCCCTGGCCTTGATTCTTTCGCCAACATTTTTTATTAATTCCAAAAATATTCTCCGTGGAGTTTCAGGTCATTCCGTGAACTTTTATTTCTGCACAAAATTAACACCATGGCAATTTTGCTGAAAACAGCATCAGTCCGGGTTAGTTCCATTCAAATCATGCAAGTTTAGAGTCCAAAAACAAGGGCAAAATTGTTTACAAAAGTAGATACGATGGAGACGTATCACCCACAAGCCTGCCCCCCCTAGGGCCCGGTGTCAGGGCTTGTGGCCCTCTTGTGTCTCCTCTGGCCTCCTCTCCAAGTCTCTTGGGTTTCTTCTGGTCCAAGAAAAATCATCATAAAGTTTTATTCCGTTTGGACTCCGTTTGATATTGATTTTCTGTAAAAGTCAAAAACAACAAAAAAGTATTTTTGTGGACGTTTTTGATGTAGATGGAATATTTGGGTATTTATAGAGCAAGAATTAGGGTTAGGGGAGTCCCGAGGGGCCCACAAGCCTGCCCCCTAGGGCGCAGCCTCACGGCTTGTGGCCCTCATGTGTCTCCTCTGGCCTCCTCTCCAAGTCTCTTGGGTGTCTTTTGGTCCAAGAAAAACCATCATAAAGTTTTATTCCATTTGGACTCCATTTGATATTGATTTTCTGTAAAAGTCAAAAACAAGGAAAAAACAACAACTGGCACTGGACACTAGGTTAATAGGTTAGTCCGAAAAATGATATAAAATAGTTCCAAAATGCATATAAAGCATCCAAGATGGATAATATAATAGCAACAACAACAACAACCACAACAAAGCCTTTATTCCCAAACAAGTTGGGGTAGGCTAGAGGTGAAACCCATAAGATCTCGCAACCAACTCATGGCTCTGGCACATGGATAGCAAGCTTCCACGCACCCCTGTCCATAGCTAGCTCTTTGGTGATACTCCAATCCTTCAGGTCTCTCTTAACGGTCTCCTCCCATGTCAAATTCGGTCTACCCCACCTTCTCTTGACATTCTCCGCACGCTTTAGTCGGCTGCTATGCACTGGAGCTTCTGGAGGCCTGCGCTGAATATGCCCAAACCATCTCAGACGATGTTGGACAAGATTTTCTTCAATTGGTGCTACCACAACTCTATATCGTATATCATCATTCCGGACTCGATCCTTCCTCATGTGGCCACACATCCATCTCAACATACGCATCTCCGCCACACCTAACTGTTGAACACGTCACCTTTCAGTCGGCCAACACTCAATGCCATACAACATTGCGGGTCGAACCGCTGTCCTGTAGAACTTGCCTTTTAGCTTTTGTGGCACTCTCTTGTCACAGAGAATTCTAGAAGCTTGGCGCCACTTCATCCATCTGGCTTTGATTCGATTGTTCACATCTTCATCAATACCCCAATCCTCGTGCAGCATTGACCCCAAGTATAGAAAGGTGTCCTTCTGAGGTACCACCTGGCCATCAAGGCTAACCTCCTCCTCCTCACACCTATAGTAGTACTAAAACCACACATCATGTACTCGTTTTTAGTTCTACTAATCCTAAACCCTTTCGATTCCAAGGTTTGTCTCCATAGCTCTAACCTCCTATTTACCCCCGTCCGACTATCGTCAACTAGCACTACATCATCCTCAAAGAGCATACACCATGGGATATCTCCTTGTATATCCCTTGTGATCTCATCCATCACCAATGCAAAAAGATAAGGGCTCAAAGCTGACCCTGATGTAGTCCTATCTTAATTGGGAAGTCATCAGTGTCGACATCACTTGTTCGAACACTTGTCACAACTTTATCGTACATGTCCTTGATGAGGGTAATGTACTTTGCTGGGACTTTGTGTTTCTCCAAGACCCACCAGATGACATTCCCCGGTATCTTATCATAGGCCTTCTCCAAGTCAATGAACACCATATGCAAGTCCTTCTTTTGCTCCCTATATCTCTCCATAAGTTGTCGTACCAAGAAAATGGCTTTCATGGTCGACCTCCCACGCATGAAACCAAACATAATTTTGGTCACGCTTGTCATTCATCTTAAGCGATGCTCAATGACTCTCTCCCATAGCTTCATTATATGGCTCATCGGCTTAATTCCATGGTAATTAGTACAACTCTGAACATCCCCCTTGTTCTTGAAGATTGGTACTAATATACTTTGTCTCCATTATTCTGGCATCTTGTTTTCCCGAAAAATGAGGTTGAAAAGTTTGGTTAGCCATACTATCGCTATGTCCCCGAGCCCTTTCCACATCTCAATGGGGATACAATCAGGGCCCATCGCCTTGCCTCCTTTCATCCTTTTTAAAGCCTCCTTGACCTCACACTCCTGGATTCGCCGCACAGAACTCATGTTGGTCCCATCAAAGGAGTCGTCCAGTTCAATGGTAGAACTCTCATTCTCCCCATCGAACAACTTGTCAAAGTACTCTCGCCATCAATGTTTAATCTCCTCGTCCTTCACCAAGAGTTGTCCTGCTCCGTCCTTGATACATTTGACTTGGCCAATATCCGTCGTCTTACTCTCTCGGATCTTGGCCATCTTATAGATGTCCCTTTTGCCTTCCTTCATGCCTAACTGTTGGTAGAGATCCTCACAAGCCCGACCCCTTGCTTCACTAACAGCTCGTTTTGCGGCCTTATTCGCCATCTTGTACTTCGCTATGTTGTCTTCACTCCAATCCAGGTATAGGCTCCTGAAGCAATCTTTCTTCTCTTTAATCGCCTTCTAGACATCATCATTCCACCACCAGGTACCCTCATCTTTGCTTCTCCTTCCCCTGGACAGTCTAAACTCCTCCGAGGCCACCTTACAAATGCAGGTCACCATCTTCGTCCACACATTGCCTGTGTCCCCTCCTTCCTCCAAAGGGCCCTCCTTAATGACCCTCTCCTTGAATGCTTAAGCTACCCCCCCTTGAGCTCCCACCACCTTGTTCTACGACTTTGGCATGCTTATCCCGCTGGACACGAATCCGAAAGTGGAAGTCAGCAACCACGAGCTTATGCTGGGGTACAATACTCTCTCTAGGTATCACCTTACATTCTAGACACGCACGCCTATATTCTCTTCTCGAGAGGATGAAATCGGTCCGGCTAGAGTGTTGGCTGATACGTCTCCAACATATCTATAATTTATGAAGTATTCATGCTAATATATTATCATTCTTGGATGTTTTACAATCATTTTATAGTAACTTTATATCATTTTTTGGGACTAACATATTGACCCAGTGCCTAGTGCCAGTTGCTGTTTTTTGCTTGTTTTTTACATCGCAGGAAATCAATATCAAACGGAGTCCAAACACCGTGTAACTCATGGAGGATTTTTTATGGACCAGAACAACCAGGATGGGCCAGAGCAGCACCTGGGGGGATGCCCCGAGGGGGCACAACCCGCCAGGGCCCCCTGGCGTGCCCAGGTGGGTTGTGCCAACCTCGGTGGCCTCCCGTACCCCTTCTTTGCACTATAAATTCCCAAATATCCCGAAACCCTTTGGGGTAGCCCTAGATCAGAAGTTCCGCTGCTGCAAGGCCTCTGTATCCACGAGATCGAATCTAGACCCCGTTCCGGCACCCTGCCGGAGGGGGGGGGGTCATCACCGATGGCCATCTTCATCATCCCGGTGCCACCACGATGAGGAGGGAGTAGTGCATCCTCGGGGCTAAGGGTTTCTACCAGTAGCCATGTGTTTAATCTCTCTCTCTCTCTCTCTCTCTCTCTCGTGATCTTGAGATGTCACGATCTTGATGTATCGCGGGCTTTGTTAATATAGATGGATCATATGATGTTTCTCCCATCTATACACTTGTTGTGATGAATTGAGTCTTTACCCTTTGAAGTTTTGTCTTGTCGGACTGAATGTTCAGATCTGAAAACACATGATGTATGTCTTGCCATATGAATACTTGAGGTGACAATGGAGTATCATATTGATTCACTTGATATATGTAATGGCACTCAACTTGGGGATTCCCATGGTGACATTGGGGTAATCTATGCATAGGGGTTGATGCACATTTTTATTATCTTTTCTCTGATAGAAACTTTGGGGGGCCTTGTAGTTCTTTGTGTTGGATTGAGCATTATGAATCTGAAATTGTTTGATACATATTGTATAATTAACTCATGGGTACTCGCGGTGACATTGGGGGTATCTAGGTGACATTAGAGTTGGTTGATATGTGTCATATGGTGTTATTTTAGTATGAACTCTTGATTAGATTGTCGGAAAGAATAGCTTGCTGTCATTTTAGTACGAACTCTAGGATAGATCGATCGGAAAGAATAGCTTTGAGTTGGTTTCGTACCCTACAAACAATTTCTATCTTTTTTTCTTCGCTAATAGGAACTCGGGAGTGATTCTTTGTTGCATTTTGAGGGATAGTCATATGATCCAACTATGTTAGCATTGTTGAGAGATTACACTAGTGAAAGTATGTGCCCTAGGCCTCATTTTCCATCATGGCAATACCGTTTATGCTCCATTTTACTATTTACTACCTTGATGTTTTTTATTGTTCGCACTACAAAAACTCATATCTACTATCCATACTACACTTTTATCACCATCTCTTTGCCCAACTAGTGCACCTATACAATTTGCCATTGTATTGGGTGTGTTGGGGACACAAGAGATTTCTTGTATTTGATTGCAGGGTTGCTTGGGAGAGACTATCTTCATCCTATGCCTCCCACGGATTGATAAACCTTAGGTCATCCACTTGAGGGAAATTTGTTGCTGTCCTACAAAACTCTCTGCTTGGAGGCCCAACACGTGTCTACAAGAATAAAGTTGCGTAGTCGACATCAAGCTCTTTTCTGGCGCCGTTGCCGGGGAGGTGAGTGCTTGAAGGTATATATTTAGATATTGTAATTGAATCTTTTAGTTTCTTGTTTTTATCACTAGTTTGGTTAATAAAAGAAAACTACAAAAAGATGGAATTAAGGTTGCATCATATTATTGATCATGTTTATAATATCTTTCTTGAAAATGATGGTTCGGAAAATTGTGCTCAATTGATAGAAGAAGAATTTAATAAAATGATTGGCATGAATGATGAGCATGATTGCAATGTTGTTGGCATGAACTCTTTGAATATCCATGATGTTAATGATATGCAAAGCCACAAGCTTGGGGATGCTATGTTTGATGAAAATGACATTTTTAGTCCCCCCAAGTTTTGATGAGCAAGTTTATTATGATGAAAGCATGCCTCCTATCTTTGATGATTATGGTTATGACATGTATGCTATATTGAATAATGATAACCATGAAACTTGTCATCATGATTTTAATTTTCAATCACATGATAGTTACTTTGTTGAGTTTGCTCCCACTACCATTCATGAGAATAAATTTGCTTATGTGGAGAGTAAGAAAATTTCTATGCTTGTGGATCATGAAAAGAATGCTTTATGTGATTGATATATTGTTGATTCATTCATGATACTACTAAAAATTATTATGAGGGAGGAACGTATGCTTGTAGGGATTGCAAAAATACCAAGTTTCCTCTCTATGTGTTGAAAGTTGTGAAGTTATGCATGTTTTGCCTTCCTATGCTAGTTGATTCTTGTTCCCATGAATTATTTGCTCAAAAAATCCCTATGCATAGGAAGTGGGTTAGGCTTAAATGTGCTTGCCATGTGATTCATGATGCTCTTGTTATGTTTCAGTTCTTATCTTTTATGTGAGCATCATTGAACTCATCATGCCTAGCTAAAAAGGCATTAAAGAAAAGCGCTTGTTGGGAGACAACCCAACATTTTTATCTACTGTTTGTGTTCACATGATTATGATACTTTATTGATCATGTTTTGTTGTTTTTTTTTCAATAAAGTGCCAAGTAAAGCCTTTGGGATCATGTTGGGTGATAGTTGATTTGATCTTGCTGAAAAACAGAAACTTGTGCACTCACGAAAATAAGTCTCATTTTTAACAGAAGAGTGATTTTGAGTTGATTATTTTTGCAGAAGTTAAATATACCAATTGCTCACGTGGTCCAATTTTGTTCATAATTTTTGGAGTAGCATAAATATGGTTTGAGTAGAGATTACTACAGACTGTTCTGTTTTTGACAGATTCTGTTTTCAATGCATAGTTTGCTTGTTTCCTTGTTTCTATGGATTATATTGCTCAATATAAATTGTGGAAATTATATGATACAGTAGGCATTGTGTGGGAACAATTATGAATCTTTTCTTTGACAGTACCAAAAGTGAAATGGTTTGCTCTTTATCATACTAACCTATCTCACAAGGTTCTGTTAAGTTTTGGGTGAGATGTCGATATGAGGAGAATAAGGAGTGACAAGACCCTAAGCTTGGGGATTACCAAGGCACCCCCAAGGTAATATTCAAGGAATATCCAAGCAACTAAGCTTGAGGATACCCCGGATGACATCCCCTCTTTTGTCTCCAACATTATCGGTAACCTCACTTGGAGCGATGTTTTCATTCGTCACATGATATGTGTTTTGCTTGGAGCGTCAATTTATTTTTCTACGATTTTTTTCTGTTATTTAGAATAATGTTTTTCATCTTTTATTTCAATAAAAATGGTAATGATAGCCTTTGCCATGCTTATTTTGCAAGTATACTTGTTGCTGTTTGAAAACGGAAAGTTTATCGATGTCGCAAAAATTCCCTAGATAAGTCAGGATATGATAAAACGTTGAAAGTTTT